CAAAAATTAATGATACTAAACATCAGACATGAAAGATTGAAGATCATATGATCCTGTTATGGCTTGTCAACTCCATGGCCACAAAAATTAGAGAAAACTTCCTTCTGTACAAAATGACAGAATAAATCTAAGATTACAAGTGAAACTGATTCAAGTGTTGACAACACCTCTGAGTTTTTTGACATTGAAATTAGATTGCATGACATGCGGCAATGTAAGTTAGATGTTACTTAATAATTCAATACTCTCTCTAGATATTGGCTCCAACTAGATATGTATGAAACATATACAAGAAAGTGCTCACAAGAACTCTGCTCTTTACAAAACCATTGTGAACGGAAAAGATTTTCTAGAACTCATCAAGGAACTAGATAAAGTCAGAGGAAGAATCATGGAACCAAACCTCTTCCATCAATTCGTGAAACCTTTGTTGAAGTTCAAAGGAAAAAGAGCAGGAAGAAACTCATGATAGCAAATAATCTCACTACATCAAATGTTGACAACTCGACTTTACTCTCACAAATCATTTTAAGATAACAAACAAAGGAGAAGCAGATCGTGGTGTGAACATTGCATGAAGCATGATCATCTGAAAAAGAAGTGATGGAAAATTTATGGAAAGCCACCAAATTGAAAGCTAGATAAAGTTAAAGGTGATTGGGAAAATCAAACAAACACAACATCAAAGAAAGAAAAGTCTCATGAACATAGTATATTAAGCAAGAAACAAGTTGAAGCTCTCCAAAGGCTTATAGGACAATATTTGGAGCCTTCTACCAACCTTCTAGCACATCAAGATATCATTTCATATGCTTTTGTTGCTCTCAATGGGAAGAATCAACATTAGATGGTGAACTTTGGAACATCTGATCACATGACAAGTGATATCACTTTTTTTTAATCCCTTCATTCTTGCAAACATTGTTGCAATTAAAACCGCTGATGACTCCCTCGCATCTGTATTAGGAAGAGAAAGTGTGAAACTCACAAAGGATATTATTTTTCAATCAGTGCCTTGCACGTGACATAAATTGTGTTTCTAAATTCACCATAATTTGTGTGAATTTTAGGTAATAGACTCGGGGGAGGTGATTAGCAATGTTGACATGCATCATAAACTTTATCAGCTCAATAGGACTCCCTCTTAAAAAGGACCGCCCCGCCATTCAAAATCCTTTTGATTCAACTCTTTTACCTGAGTCTGATTCTCATGAGAGTTGAGTTATGTTATGACATTTTCGCATTGGGCATCCTCATTTATATTATATTAAAAAAATTATATTTTCATTTGTTTATCAACAAAAAACTAGTTCTTATCAGCATTAAACTTGTCAACTTGCTAAGCATACTCGATAAGTGTACTCACACCTGAAATACAAACCAACACAACTCTTCTTCATGATTCATAGTGATATTCGAGGTCCCTTAAAATAAAATAAAATAAATTACAAATGAGATTGTAGTTTGTCACCTACATTGATGATCACACGTGAAGGAAAAATATAAAATTATTAGCATATTTAAAACCTTTCACATATTTGATACCTTCAACAAAATGATCCTCACCCAATTTTAAAGCAAAATTCATATTCTCAAACTAATATTGCACAAGACTACAACTCCACTCTCGACTTTATCTATCCAAAAAATGGCATCGTCAATATAAGATTGCATCGCCTTTATTCATCTACATCAACCACATCAGACCAAGCTTGATCTCAAGTCCATCAAATACATCTTTGTGAGGTACTACTCTTCATACAAAAAGAGGTATAAATGTTAGAAACACAAAAATTCTACGACTTCATGGATGTCTCCTTTGAAAATCAAACATATTACCAAAAAATTCACATTAAGGGGCTGAGTTGGAGCATGTATCAGATTTGGACTACCATTCAAGATAACCTAGTTACTTAGAGAAGAAAAAAAGCAAGTTGTGGCAAAAAGAAGCGCAGAATTTGAGTATCAAGTCAAGGCCCTAAGAATTTGTGAAAGGTTGGCTAAAGAAATTACTAGTTAGAGAACAAAAAAACTATTAAGTGTTCAAAGATAGTAATTACCATCAATATTTCAAAAAATCTGGTACATCATAATCGAACCAAACATATAGAGCTTCGCAGGCACTTCATATCTGAGAAGTTCAATGGAGGGGTTCTCCAACTAAAAAGTTATATTTCAACTCAATATTAGATTGTTGACATTCTTACCGAGGCACTTCCTCGGCACCATTTATTGATCTCAATAGCAAGTTTGGGATGCATGGCATAGACAACCCAACTTGAGGGAGAGTGAAGAAATGCATATAATCGTGGACCACATGGGCCCACCAACAATTTAAAAAATTGTGGGTTTGCTTCTATATTTGATGGGGAGAAGTTATTCTCCCTTAATTATCTATTACTGCATTTTTATTTCTTTACTTCTTATCATGGCAATCTAAATTTCCTTCGAATTGTATGAGGGTTAGTCTAGGTTGTATATATTTGTAATTTGTTGTATTAGTAAGATGAAAAAATTTTAGAGTTTTTTCTCCAAGAGTTCCTCCGAAAGTTGCAGAAATATTTTACTCATTAGAGTTCTGAACATAAATATAAGAAAATACAAAAATAATATAAATTTATGTCATGGATTCATAGCACAAGTGGATTCAAGATCCAACACAGTTGAGCATTATTTATCATATATGATAAAAAAATGGTTGAATGTTTCAATGATTAAAAAGAAAATATATTATAATTTTAGAAACATGACGATACTGTAGAAATAAAAGTCAGAAATTTCAACGCAAATGCAAAATGAAAACCACGTCTATCTCATCACTCCTAATGCATGATTTTGATAAAAAGAACAATTTTTCTTTTCCCAAGCACTGCAAGAGAACTACGCTACTACAAGGAAATCTAGAAGCTTTATCCTAGAGCTAAACTCTACAGCGTCTGCTGAACTAAGCTTCCCAAATTATGTTCATCTTGAACAGAAATTCAATATTCAAATTTACTATTTCCATGTAGAGATTGGTGATTTCGGAGGATCAGCAGACATGTATCCAAGATATTACAGCTCAAAACGGCAACAGCATGCATTACGCAAATAAAACTGAAACCTGTAAACAAAATGCACCTTCATACCACTTCTTTGGATGGCATGAGTTCTGCCATACGTTTGTAAAGCCACAGATTCTAATCTTCTCAAAAGCATTCACATTTTTCGCATCACCGCCAAAACAAAGAAAAAGGATACCAATACATACAATATGATCCCTTGATGTTCTGCTCAAACAAGAGCTTATACTTCCAGCCCAATGACTAAATTTACACAGGATTCACTTTTAAGAGTGTATGTCCTCCTATTTCAAGAATCTGTAACAAATCTACAAGCTATGCAACCTAAGGCGGAAGACTGGCTGTTAAGAAAATGAAAAATTAAAAATAAAAACTAATTTAATATGTTTATGGTTAGGGGAGGCAGAAGATTGTTGTTTTGAGTTTTAAGGTTAGGGTTTGGGAGAGAAGTCCTACTTCTCGAATTTCAGGTGCTTATCTTATGTGTTCTTGTTCGGCTAGTTTATATTTCAAACATAAAAAGTGTGTTCGTATTCGGCTCGTTTGCATAGTGAGCCAAACAAGAGGTGTTCGTGAATAAAGAGTCTTTTTGACAACCTTAATCACGCAGGGGTAGGATGTTAAGGGTTGAGGCAAGACACACACATACACACACATATATATAATTGATGAGTGGTATTTTGAGCCAAAGATGCATTTGATTCAGACTATAAAGTTCGATTTCTGGATCTAAGAAAGATGTCATTTATATATCGAACACAAAAAAGTGTTAATGTTTGACTTTTTAACTTAGCGAACGAATCGAACACAAGCTTCTTAACGAGCCGAATACGAGTTGTTCACGAACAACAAGCCATTTTGGCAGCCCTAGTTGGCACGGGGTTGCGTTGGTCGAGTTGGCCGACATGTTGTGATGACCTGCTAGGTGACCATATGAGGGATGAAGTTATCTATCATCATTGTATAAACCATAACATTACATCGAATAACTATATGGTGCAATCTCATTCACAGGCAATCATGTCATTGTGTTGGCTCCACTAACAATTATATAGGAAGTCTTACGTTGATTTACATCCACATGATTTTTTTAAGCATGTTATGGCCTACATTTTGTTCATGATAGGATGTTTCATAATTCCAAATACATCTGAATCACATGTTCGCTTAGCTTATTTACCATTATCGAGGATTTGAATGAATTTAGATGATATTTTTTAGGTGGCACAGTTCTAGCATATTTATATAGAGAATTTAATCCAGCTACCAAGCACACCCGTGTCCTGATTGGTGGATGTTTGCAATTGCTTTAAATGTGATATTGGAAGCACTTATATGTTAGTAGATCCACTCTTCATGTTCTGATTCCTCAAAAATTAATAGACAAGTAGCTCGGATTCATGTTCAAAATTATTTTCTCCATTTACCCCTAAACACTCTAATTTTTTAATTACATTCACCTCATTTGCTTAAATAACATGCCGGTAGAATGAAGAGTGGATACAGAAAGTGTTAGTTGTAAATACCATGATGTATATAGATGAATTTGATGGACTCAAAAAGAGTCAGGTATAATACTCATTTTTTTATTTAATCTCATATTCATGTCTTAAATATATATTAGCTAAATTTAATTTATAGTTTCATGCGCAATTTGGAAACTATATTTAGATGCAAATATAGTGTTTTACAAGACGTGCTTTGAGAACATAGATATTTGGACCGCTCGTGCTTTACTAATGAACTGTAAGCGTATCAGGTGACACCTTCCAGATCACGTTATGCGACAGTTTGTAAGCATTCAGCCTATAATCATTGAACCCATCAAAAAAGGTTTTCAAAGAGTCAATGGCCAAGGTAGAGTAGGAACTGACTGGGAGCAATATTACAATAAATATATCGAGATATGAAATAATCGTCGAGCATCATTTATTGTACCATTAAACCCACCACAAGAAGACCGAGAGGAAGAATTAGCTCATTATTTGCAGTGGTATGGCGCTTGGGCATCACTCTACTTAGCAAAGCATCCACCTCAGCCTCCTGATACCTATTACATGTGATCATCATGAGAGAGAATAGTGCTATGTATTTGCATTCTTTTATAGCAAGTACTATTTTTTTATTATAAAATACATAATAATAAAATAAGATTATCAATTATACAGCTAGATTACTTCATTCGTAGCAAGGACATCGCAAAAAGGTTTGGAGGGGATCGCAGTGCAAGTGGTAGTTCCATGAAACAATGTTATGACGAGATTATGGAACCATCATGCATAATTGAAGAATCAATTCACATTAATTATGTTGTATTTGATCGATTAGATGGACATAATTTTGAAGCACGTTCGTCTTATAGAACAGATGATAGACCGCAAGACCCCAGTAGATCAACCTTTGCAGTTCCACGTCGGTCGTCTTCCACTGCTGCTAGGTGATCAACGGAAGATGCTTCAAGGAGATCTTTGGTCAGCATAACACAAAGAACTTCGTCTCAAAAGTCACAAGAACAATAATATCCACAGGCATTTGCTTATTTCGACCAATCAGTATTTGTGAGACTTTCCAGCCATGCAAGATCATCCAGCTGAGCAGGATCCTCTGGCTATGCAATATCATTAACATATGAGATTTCATCATTTGACTTGCATTGGACAACCACTCCTGGTAGAAACTTGGATTTGCATTTTCAGAACATTCTCATGGTTGCGCTTATTTCTGATATAGACATTAATTTCAGTACACCACAATTTTCCTTTCCATCAAATCTTAACGAAAAAATTTACTGAATGTCATGAGATGCTATGAATGACACAATTGAAAACGATGATATTGAAGAAGAATTTCAAAAATATCAGTTGCGGCATCAACCACTATGACTACCGTCTCGAAATACACCGGGCTCAGGTGCTGCTCCACCCTGACGTAGAAGAAGATAGTATTTCTTTGTAAATATTATATTACGAATATATTTAAATATGAAATAAATTTTACGAATTTCATATTTTGTTAGTTAATTTAATTTGTTAAATTATATATATTTTAAAATAATTAAAAATTAATTACAATTTGTTAATTAATTAAAAATTGTAATATTTTAATTAATGTATATAATAATAACAATAATATTTATAATAATATTTAATATGTATTAATAAGATTATTATTTATAAGAAAATTTTAAAAAATAAAATAAAAGAAAAGACGACACATTTTATACACGCCCCCAACTTTCTCTTTTTTTTTTTTTTAAATCTATATATTAAGAGCTACTTTATATATTGGCCGTCATATAAATCCTAAATATCTCAAAAGAAGGAAAGCAAGAAACATGTCAAATCCAAGAAAATTCATAACAACAGCAAACTCACAACAAAAGAGAGGGAGCAGTATAGCGAGAAAGAGATCCGAAACAAGCACGGAAATGAAAGCCAAATTGAGGTATAACAATGCATCCAAAGCAAAAGAAACAAACCAGATGAACTACAGTGCAGGGCAGAACCAGCAACCAAAGAAGCGGTAGACAAAATGAGGTGAAACTACGGAACAGTTGTTAAAATTAGAGCTCTTTAGTAGCAGGATTTACGATCAATCCTTTCAAAAGTTTGTAGTGACCAAAATAAATACTAAGTTCATTTCAATCCCGTTTTACCTCCTTTGTTTTCGCTGTAAATTCCGGATATATTGTAGTTCGACCAATGTAAGTAAATGGAAGATCACCTTGCAGGCTCCACGCAAAATCTTAGAAAATCGATCGATCCAGTTGATGCAGCGAGCTCCCAAGCCGACTTCCGCTCTTCTTTTCGATTAGGGTTTCCGGTAAGACTGAGACCGGGGCGGAGCCGTGCGCTTGGGATAAAAAGTGTTTATAATTGAAATTTTTTTAAGAAAATTAACTTTATTAATAGTTAAATAAAATATTATTATTATTATTTAAGATTTAATTTTATTAAATATAAATGTTTAAGTTTAATTGGCTTTACAATATAGGAATTGGGAAATATTCTTTGATGACTTTCGCTTCGAAAATAACCACCATACCAAGTATTCAATAACCGAATAAATTTGTTGTATATAT